TAACGATAAATCAATGTTCATCATGAGATGACAAAGTTGAATACATATTATCGAAATGTCCTCCTGATAACGTTGATTTAAAACGTGACATGAAGGTTGAGATAATGTGTGTGTAATCTAGATTTCATCTCAGAATTTTTTGGATTACCTGAAAGGACATTTGTGAATGACCGTATATTATCTTCATTCAACAGTATCGACATATTATAATATCTGTTATTTCAAGTGATCATTCACTGACTGTTTAATGAGAATAAAGTATATCGTAAACGTTGAAAAAACTGATTATAATAACTAATTTTCGAATACATTTTCAACCATTTCTGAAACCGAATGCGTTGAATACAAGTTATCGACACGTATCAAAAATAACAATATTTACCAATGTTAGAATAATAATTGTGAATGCAGGTAGATGTGTCCACAGAAAGAGTAGTAGATATATCGATGTACCAATTACTGAAGAAAATATGAAATATTAGTAACAGATTCAAATGTATCCTTATTTATTACATATACTTTGCAGTGACTATCAGTATCGCTATACGATTGTATTACTTAACCATATTTATATATAAAATACTCAATAACTTATCACCTTCATATTTTCGTGAATTCATTAATTTGAATTCAGATGTACACAAATATGCCACAAGAAACAATACAAATTTGTATGTATGCAGAACAAATAGGAAAAGTGCCATGAATTCATTGTTTTTTAAAGGTTTTGATACATACAAGGTTCATTCGGGTTCCGATTTCAGAACTGTTCGAGAATCGTTCTCGAACTGCGTAGAACTAGTGCGCAGTCGTTTCGAATCATAGGACTGTTTCAGAACGGTTCACAAATTATGAAAACCCGAACACGGCAGACGAGAACCTCTGAGAACATAACCTCTATTCAGAATTTGCGAAAAAAACAATAGTTTGGCACCTGTACCTTCATTAGAATAATATTCTGAAGCCTCAAACTCCTCCTCCTTTGAATCTATTCACAATATCTCTGGAAACCCTCTGTGGAGAAATGGTGAATATATTCCATCATAGCATTAGTAGCTAGATTTTCAATATGTTTCGTCCCTTGTACCTACATTAATTTCGAAACCAACCTGAAATGTTCAATGAATTGCGTATCTGAATATAAGGGCAAAGTCTCCTTAACATAATCCTCCATTTTTCGGTTTATATAACAAAAGTTAGAGAATTATCAGATTAGATACAATATTTTCAGCAACTTCAGCAAGTAACTCCTTTACCACTGTTTCCTGAAGATGAAGAACTACTACTATCAAATGAATGTACTAACTCCATAAGATTGAGAAAATATTGAAAAGAGCAATAAACAGTAGAATAAACAAAAATATATCATTTTGACGTTACGTTACAACAGACAGAATCGAAAACTAAAAGAAATGAGCATGCGCCAAAAATAATCCTAGAACGGTTCATGCTCGAGAGCAGGTACTGGTTTCGGATAGTACTAGGACCGTCCCAGGACGATTCTGGAAAAACCCGAACGCGCAAAAAGTCAGTCCTAGAACAGTTCCACAAAACCCGAACGCGACCGATTCTACTGCGCAAACTCCTGACAGTTCTAGAACAGTAATTGTTCGAACCCGAATGAACCTACAATAAATTACCTAACAAAATCAAATCTAGCCCATCATTAAGTATTTTTAAAAAACAATTATTGGAATCCATCCAAAATATCAGATAGAATATATTTTCAAAATAGAGTATTTGTATTACAATGTATATCTTTTAATAACTTATAAAAACCTACACAGAATAGTGTAATAACTGTTAAACATAAGGATGATGATATTGGAGAAAAAGAACTAACTAATATGTTCAATGAGAATTTCACTAAACCATTGATTGAGAACAAGTGCTGTGATCTAAATTTCCTTGTACAAAATATTTCAAATAATTCAAATAGTTTTTTCCTAACTTCGGTTTGTGAGAGTGATGTTTTAGAGCTCATCTCTCAACTCAAAAGTTCCAATGCTTCTGGGTATGATTTTATCTCTAATAACTTGTTGAAAAGTTGCCGCCATGAACTATCTCGTCCCTTGACATATTTGATAAATCTGTCTTCTGTCAATGGAATTTTTCCAGCAAATCTGAAGTTTGCAACAGTATGCCCATTATTTAAAAAAGGTGATGTGAATGACCTAGACAATTATAGAGCAATAAGCCTACTGTCAAGTCTCTCCAAGCCATTCGAGTTGAATTTAAAGAAACAGTTAACTATGTTTTACGAAAAAAACAAATTATTATCATCCTCACAGCACGGTTTCACTAAATCCAAGAGTACAGAGTCAGCCCTATGTGAATTTCAGTCGAGAATTGTTAATGCTCTTGACAAGAAAAAATGTGTTATGGGTCTTTTTATAGATTTCTCGCGTGCTTTCGATTGTGTGGACCATGAACTGTTACTATCTAAGCTTTATAGATCAGGTGTAAGAGGGGTACCACATGATTTGGTAAGATCTTATCTTATAGGTAGAAGGCAAAAAGTTAAAATTGGTCAATGCATGAGCGATGATTGTGATATTATGCAGGGAGTTCCCCAGGGTTCGAATTTAGGACCTTTTTTTTTCTTGTTATTTGCTAATGATCTAATTTCATTCATTAGTGAAACAAACTCGGCATTCGTTACAAGTTATGCTGACGATACAAATATTTTGATTGTTGAAGACAACATGGATGCACTCCAAAAAACTGCTGAGGATATATATGATAAAATAATATTGTGGGCTGAAAAGAACAATTTGAAACTCAACAAATCTAAAACTAACACCATATTGTTTAGCAGACGTGGTCAAAGGGAATCGAATGTAATACTATATGAAAATAGTGAAAAATCAATTAGTCCTGTAGAAACTGTAAATATGCTAGGAATTATTCTAGATAAAAAATTAACATGGAATCAACATATTGATACATTATGTAATAAACTGAAGAAAAGCTGTTATTCTATTAGATTCATGTCGAATCACTGCAGTTCTAGTATACTCTTAACATTGTACCATGCTAACTTCCATTCACACCTTCGATACGGTATCCTCAACTGGGGTATGAGTGCTTCTGTCCAAAGGATATTTCTCCTCCAGAAATATGCTGTTAGAATAATAGCTAAGCTAGGTTACCGAGATTCATGCAGATATGCTTTTGAACAGCTAAAAATTCTTACAGTTGCCAGCACTTATATACTAGAGGCTAGTGCATACGTTTACAAAAATAAATCCAATTTTCAGTCCTCTCGTCCAAAACATAACCACAATACTCGTTCTAAAGATCTAATATTACCAAACGCTCATAGAACATCTTTGTTTGAAAAAAGCGTAGAGTACAGTGGGTGTAAATTATACAATATGCTTCCAATGCATCTTAAGAATTCCCCAAATATTAATGTATTTAAAAATCAGCTGAAAAAAATGCTACTTCAAAGGACTTGTTACACCATTCAAGAGTTCACTAATCAACTAACCTGAGATCTTCAGCTTTAGCAATTGTGTGTTGTTTATATTATATTCACTTTTTAGTTTGTTTGTGTTATTTGTGTTGTATATATTACTTGACTGACTTTTAGAATATGTTCCATGGTAATTATTTACATTTATACGTTATTTATATTTACTTTTAGACTTTTGACATTTTCTTTGTTTATTGTGCATTGATTTTTTTTTTCAACTGTACTTTTCAACCAAAGAAATAAATATTATTATTATTATTATTATTATTATTATTATTATTATTATTATATGTGTGTGAGGAGTTTTCAAACTTGAAATTCAAATTTCAATACATTTTTTAAATTTTTATAATATCTATAGTGTATTTATATGTCTATTTAGTTTTTTGTGTATTAGGGTCACCTATTTCAAATAAATATTCTTCTTCTTCTTCTACTCTATTTGAAGAAAGTGATTATCGATGATCATTTGACTATGTCAGGTGAAGTTATAGCGATATCTAACGCATGCTGAAGTTTTGAATATTTCAAACAATCAACTTTGTTGCCTCATTCAATATCGCAAGTAGGTATCCAATGGTCCGTTATCGAGATGTCGATTCAACTATCGTGAGAATGTCGTTTCGTTATAAAGAACTATCGACGTTTCATTTGGAAATTCCAAAGATTGATATAATATAGCCGATATAAAACATTTGAATAATGTGTTGATTGCTTGCTAATTTTCAACAAAATCTCAACGTCGAAGTGTTTATTTGTCAATGTCGTTTCGCCAATTATTTTAACTGTTATTCAATGTACCTATTCAAAACGAATGTATGTTCATTGGGATTGATCGGGTGATTTAGGATATGGGGATGTTTTCGAATAATATCTTGTTCAATAACGAATTCTGAGAATGATGCTTACAATTTATATTTGAGTTACCCAAAGACGAGAAGACATTTCAAGTGTTCGTTAAAGCTTCACATTCCAATATTCATCTCATGCAAATACATTCAATGATGTAATAACATACTACAAAAAGAGATTCTTGTGCCTTTGGTGTTACGCCGTTGTTACAGTGTCGACTAATGATATTTCTGCACTCGTTCAATGAAGGGGTACAGAAATATAACATCCCATCTCTTATCAAACTTGTGTCTCGTGATTTTTTTCAGCTGTTTAACAACATGACAAGTGTGTCCACACTCTTTAAAGGGCGTCGAATGAGATGTTCGAGGTACTCATGGTCATAGGTACCACTTTCCGGTGAGTATGATTAAAATTATCTCGTATCAGTATAGGTATGGAAAAACACTAGAGTCAAAAAAACTTGTGAATAACGGGTTCAAAGATTCACCAAGAAGGGTTAATTATCAAATTGTAGTCATAAATTATTGATCCAGTTACTTACATTGAAGGACCTATCATAGTAATAAATAATGATTTTTGACTGAAAGGATAATGAAACTTTACAGATATATGATACCCCTGATCTTATCATGTGTGTATATATTGATGGTTGATTCTACAGATTGTTGATAATTATATGTAGATCGAAAAGTGTATAGAGATAGAAACATGATGTTCGATATTTCTTTAGTTTTCATCTGTCTATTTGTCCATGAGATCGCAGGGCATGGAATGATGTTGGATCCTCCTAACAGGAGTTCCATCTGGAGATACAATAGTTCAGCTATACCCAATTACAATGATAATGAGAATTTTTGTGGAGGTTTTATGGTGAGTATATACCTAACATATATTCTGTAATTATTGATATCTACTCGTACCCATCCATATTATTATGATATTCATATTGCATAATTGTCCTGATTTCCATCTGGAAGTTCATATACTTTACTGATCATTTTCTCAGTCTTCTCACAATTTTCATCATGATGTTCTCGAAATTAGGGGCAATTTCTCCATCCATTTTCCTGGATTTTTCCATTGTTGGAAATAACTATTTCGTTTCGATATAATTCGTATAGGTAAAAATTCACGAATACTTACCCATTGGAATTTGGAATACTTCAGTGCATGCAAGAATGTAATTCATCATCAATTAGGTAATGATATGGCACCTGTTGATTAGTGAATGAATAATCACTAACAGGTAGCGTTTTTGAATCCAAAAAATCGGTTTCAATTATTCTGGTAGATTTCAAATCACGCAGTGAACAATGACAGATGAGTCCAGTTATTTTTATAAGTTTTTCAATTGATTGAAATGTCAACCAATTGCAAAACGAATGAACCCTCCTATAGTACATGCACCAATATTGTCTGAGATCAGATATATTCGATAAATGATGAGGATGAATTTGATGAAATCAATATCCAATATGTTTTTCCACGATCAAATATATATATATGGATGAAGAGATCAATATCCTTCATCAAAATTCTAATGGTTCTGTTTTCTTCAATATGTAATGTAGTTGTCAGATACAGATAAGGTTTTCGTATATAACCAAAATGATTTATGTAGGTACATTTGGAGGCACTTTTACCTGTAACTGAACAGGGAGAATTCGTTTAGATCAATATTCTCCTTCATCATTTTGATGGTTTAGTTTTTATACCAATATGTAATGCATTTGTTATATACAAATAAGGTATTCGTATATATCCGACATTAGTTCAGGAACCCAAGAAGGCACTCACCGTTCAGTGAACAGTAGCAACATCACATTCTCTTAGTTCGTGTGATATTGTAGAATGCAATTATCATTTCTCGATGTACATTCGTCTTCCGAAAAATGTATGTACATGGATAGTGGATGCTCTCTAAATCATCGCTACAATAAGAGCGCTTAGTCTGTTCAACCGCGATATGCTCTCTGGAGACTAGTATAATACGGCTGATACCTTTGTTTTCTCAGAACGAACTCCATGATGTGTGATTAGACTGAATTACTCAGGATAATCGATATTCTTCTATCCCCCACCTCTATCGCCAACTTCTTGGTTCCAAATCCTAGTGGGTGGGTATATTTTTTTTTCCGGGAGTGCTTGGAATTCTTCATTGACACCATGAGTTTTGATTTGTTATTTGATTGCCCAAATATTATTTGTCCCCTGAGATCAAAAGCCTCGCAATCAGAGAGTATATGTGGGACTGTTTCCGAAGTCTTGCCGCACAGTCTGCAGCTTAGGTCACTGGAGTACAGTTCTGCTCAATCCAGGTTTTCAGTCACCTCCTGTGCAGTTATATCGTGAAATTTTTCCGTGACTGTTTCCTGAAATGTTCACGCAGTAGATTTTGTGTTTTTCCAGTTCCCAGTCTCTTATCACATACGCTCGTGCTATTTGTTTTTGGTCATGGGTCCGGAATCTTTCCTTACCCTCTCTCAGTAAGTTCATTCGCTTCTTCATTATCTGCTATATCCAGATGGCGTAGTACCCAAATCAGTTTTTTTTCTGTTCCGCTGCTATTCCCAGTTGTTTTATGCAAGTTCATACCAGCTCGGACGTTACCGCTCAACCTCCTAAGGCCTTCAGTGCCGCCTGATTATCTGACATGATATAGATCTGCTCGTCTCTGACAGCTCTCCTGTTATTCTCTCTCATACAGGGTGATTCAAACTCCCTGCCCTTGGCTCAAAACAGGAGAAGGAAACCTGAAAATGCGGAATTTGGCAGAGGGAATTCGAATAGCTGTGGGTAAGGTATATTTTTTTGCCGAACATTCCTCAACTATTTTCAAAATGGCGAAAATGGCACCAGAAGGAATTTTTTCTCCACGAGGTTACGATTCTTCTGTCAGCTTCTGGAAGAACATATTTTTTTGAACTCGATCATTGAAAAAGTTTTTCTTCATGTTTATTTGGTTGATAGCTATGGGACTTAATAGTTGTTTTTTTATCAACTGACTCTGCTGCAATAAAAATCGAGTCAGCCCAGAAACAAATTATTTTGTTAAAAAATCAGTTGGGACACATTTTGCATTCATATTAGGCGAAGAGGCAGGCTATTCAAATATCGACAGATGTCAAAAATAACGGCACGTCATACAACTGTAGCTTTCAAGATAGCAAAGACGAAGTCTACGAAATTGAATATCTAGGCATATTTATTGACTGGTTCTTGAAATGGAGTAAACATATTTATTATATTACCAAATTACTTCGAAATTCTCTACCGGAATTCAAGATGTTGGTTAAAATTTTGTCTCAGCTATTTTTGTGGTCAATTATGCTTCTGCTCAGTTAATTTTGGAATACGATATAGTTGCATGATGTTCAGCAATTTCAAAACATCTGGAGTATCTAATTACTTCTCGAAATTATATCCACAAAATTATAATGAGAATGGAATGACTATAGGTAGGTATATCTTACAAAATCACTGAACGCAAAAGTGTTTACAATACAAGCATAGCTACAACAACAAGTCAAAGAGAATACCTGTTGCAAATTCAGGAATCACAAATACATTATACTTCAAAACTGCCTACTTTTATTGTTTATACGCTTATACAACAGTCTATCTGGCGGAATTAAAAAAAAAAATAATTTCAGGCATTTTGAAAGCAAGAAAACACACGTGAATATTCTAAGAACTGGTGATTAGTTCGGAAATTCTTCAATTCATATTGTGTCTAAATGATATATATTCAAACATTTTGAATGCCCTAATATTATGATTTTCATAATGACTGAAATTGAATTGAAATTGAGTTGAGCTTATAATCCTTACATGGAGGTAGAATCATCACTGCACGTGCAGTTCCAACAATGTTTTCACACAATCATACAATTCTTGAAACAATCTGTTTTGCATTATATCGAATCATCCTCATCGAAGAGCTCTCAATTTGAATTTTTCTCCATCAGGTGCAATACGAGCAAAATGAGGGTAAATGTGGTATCTGCGGAGACTCATATGCAGATCCCCACCCACAGAAGAATGAAAATACTGGAGAATACGGCCAAGGCATCATTGGAGGCATATACGAAGCTGGTAGCGTGATTGATATATCGATTCTTCTAACAGCTAATCATCTCGGAGAGTTTACCTACAGGTGACGTTCATATGTATAAAGAATTAATGAATTGTAACAACCTCATAATGAATTTATAGTATAGAGATTTTAACTTAAACAAAATAAATTTCCAGTGCACACAGAATGTGTTCGAAATTGAAGCGATGAATAGAAAAAGGGGTATTATGGAATATACCAGGTGTTTCTCAAAAGTGGCTCACCCCTATAATTTTTTTGCTTCTATAAATTTTATGAACAAATGAAATTCGGTGTGTGAGTATAGTTTATAAATATTCATTATTTGATGTATTCAATTGTTTCCTGTCACTTCCGGTTCGACTGGAAATGACCCATATTTTATATTTTAAATTGGACACCCGGTATATTTTTACTTATTTCGATAGAGGATAACATTGTGAGTGAAATGACACCCCATTTACCACCTTTTGACATTTTTCATCCTGAAATTTGCGTTTTTCAAGTTTCAATATATATTGATAATGATGCTGGATATTTATTCGAACAATCGATTATATGGTATCAATGTGTTCCTAACAAAATACCCTTTTCAGATATGGTGATGAGCCACCCTGTTCTATTTGAAGAAAGTATGTTATCATCATAGTTACAATATTGTAAATTTTGAATGAACGTATAAAATGAATGAGAAGTAAAACTTCATTGAAACTATTTTTTCTAGGCAACACGATCCAAAATCAACTGTTAATTCATTCATGGCACTCTACATTGAGAGTTGAAGAATGAAAATTTCAGGATGAATGCCAAAAAGTGGCAAATGGGCTTTCATTGTACAAAGTAAACATATACCGGGTGTCCCATTTAAAATGAGAAAATATGGGTCAAGTGGCAGAAAATAATTGAATAGGCCAAATAATGCATATATTTATGTACTATATTCACACACCGAATTCCATTTGTTTATCTGTATAAACAAAACATTCATAGGGGTGAGCGACTTTTGAGAAACACCCAGTATATCAGGATGAATGACAGAAAAAATCTTGCACCATTCAACCATTATTGAACGCATGGAAATATTGCGGAAGTTATATTTGGAGAACTCAAATAATATTTAAAATTTCAGAAGTTTTTATGCGTCATTATGACATTCTAATATGATAAAATAACTTTAAAGAATATTCAAAGTTGGAGAATTACTTCTTTGTAGTTTGTTTCCTACAGATTCTAATATTCAAGTATGATATTATCTCTCCAATCGTTGAACTTACATGCGCTTATAAAATCCTGATTGTAATTCATAATCATATTAACGAATAAATACTAACTGATGATAATCATTGATAGCTATGAAAGATTAGATGAAGTGACAACTAGGCTGTTCTCCATTCATCTTGCATCGTTTCGAGATATTTGATACTTCATATCGGTTATACAGGGTCCTGCATCTCTCATCTAGTCTCCTATAGCTCAGTTATGAATTATGTTTTTCTGCTGCCTATACATATGTCCGAAAAAGTGTGAAATCATAATGGTTTATATTTATTAATGACATCACATTGATTTGAGTGCTCCTTGTGGTAACCTACATATTCTTGGAAGTTTATAGGTATCGGTTTAGTAATATTCATGAAGAAAAAACTTCTGACTAAAAAACTCAGTTTTTCACCCAAAAATTATAGTGCCTTGTTCTCGAAATCATTATCATCATTGAATATGGCCTAAGATTTTTGTTCACCGACTTTGATTGACACACACAGGGTGTGCAGAATGTAGTGACGGACATTTTAAATTTCAAAGCACTGTATTTTTCCTGATTTGAATTGAAGCTCCTGTATATTCTCTATTTTTCGATGGGTGATTGAAAAACAAACATTTAAGCGACAACAAAAAGATAGCATGAAAAATCAAAATCTTCTGAAATTGAGAAGTGACATTATCTCTCAAATCGGATAGAATGATTTGATATAAAAATATAACTTACCATATCACTGATACGAATGATTTTTTTGGAAGTTCCAAGCTCATCAAGATCAGAGTTCATACAAGTATACTTCTCCTATACATTTCAATTTTCATTTCAATACTGAACATATTGGTATTTGATTTCCATACAAGATACAACAAGTACACTAGAATTTGTTATACAGTATTATTGATAAGTAATGACATGAATCAAAGTATTGTTCTGAAAATATGTTTTTTATTTACGTAGTATATGCGAACTGAAAGATCCCAACGCCCCAGAATCAGGTGAGGAATGTTTCACACCGTTACTGTTTGAAGATGGTTCTGAAAGATATATCGTTCATGAGGATGATTATGAAATCCATAACAGAATTCAGCTGCCTGACTCGCCATGTGAGAGATGTGTTTTGAGGTGGACCTACAAATGTGGTGAGTTCAATTCATCTAATATTATATTATTATCTAATTGCACCCATGGAGGAACTTCGATATACGATATTCATCCAGGTCTCTCCATGTCGACGGGGTCTCATCTGACTCTCTAATCATAAATGCTGGTGTTCCGCAATAATCAATTCTAGCACCAACACTATTTTGTTTGTTGGAAGCAACTTCATGTTCAGTACACAGCTTCGCGGATGATAGTACCCTCCATACCGTCTTCCCTTCCAGGGCTCCAATACCAGCCAGGAAAATCAGAAACGAACGAAATGATGACAACATGAATATGGATTTCTCATCAATTCTCGAATGGGGATCTAATAACTTGGTAGATTCCAATGCAAACAAAACACAAGCATGCCTTCTCTCTAGAAAAGCCGATTTCACTGTGCTCATCATGAGCTTGTCAGGAGTAACCATACCATCGAAGACATCCATTTCGATGCTTAGTATTACTATCAGCAATAACCTTTCTTGTGAAAATCATGTGAGATAAATTGCTAAAAGTGAATCCCAAACACTTGATTTTCTGTTTCGGGCCAGGAGCTATCTCACTTCCAGTCAGCTGCTTATGATCTACTAGGCACAGATCCGACCTGTCCTGGAATACTGTTTCCATATTTGGAGTACAGCACCCACACATACCCTGTTGGATTCTGTCTAAAAAAGGGCAATTCGTCTCGTGGGTGATGCCTCGCTCACGAACTCACTCACTTCTCAGGAACACCGTGAAAATGTTGGCGATCTCGCTTCATTTCATAGATATTTTCATGGACGATGCTCTTCTGAAATATCAACAATTGTTCCTCCCTTGGCAGTCCGCACGAGATCAACCGTCGAAGTGAGGCTTCGCACCCCTTCGTGGTCACTTTGGAGACCTGCAGAACATCTCTTTCCAAATACCCGTTCATTCAACGAACGGCGAGGCTCTGAAACACATTGTCAAGGAAGGTGGTCATCGAGGCATATAACCTTCAGAAATTTAAGGAGAACACCAATTCCTACCTCATTTTCCTCACGATGTTCTCTGAACATTACAGGATATCCCTTTTCGTGGGAACCAGAATATAAAAAAAAATTCTGGTATTTTCGATTCCAACAGAAGACCTTGAAAAATACGATTCAGAACGAAAAATTGAGTAGTCTTGATATCTAGACGTGAGTTGCTGGTGAATTACATGAACAGAAATATTCCTGAAATATTTCGTTCATCAGAGTTTCGTCCCGAGTTCTGAAAATAGCTACCCTGACTCAGTACAGGAAGGAGACAAAATTCTTATATATTATATCAAGTCACCTAGACAACCTCTATCAGCTGAAATCTATTTCTGGTTAGTTATGTAAGATTGACAATGTGTATGTTGATGAAAAGTTGAGATTAAAGTTTTCCGTTCAAGGTCTGGCTTCGTTCAACTAAACTTTTTTTACTTCAAGTTTCCAGAAAATCATTTCCACAATCATGAAAATTGAAGTTGGTTGAATACATATATTTCATCGACTGGCAATCCTCTTGAACATTTGAATCTAGGCTTATACGAGAAAAGGGTATTTATTTGTATATACTTACTGAAGAAATAGTGGTTCCATTTTAAAAAACACCGATGGGACCATTTATTCACAATGAATTTTTTTGAGTATGAAAATGAAGAAAAAAAAATTATCACTGCATGAATACGTATCTAGTTGAATATTGCAATTCATCTATTCACGTATAACTAGAATTCTAGAATAAGGTATTTGATTTTGTTTCGAATATGCTCACATACAGAGTTAGCATAACACTTGTCAGGGAGATTAAAATTCGTGTTGACTTGTGTTGAAATATTGCAATAAGTTTGAACAACTTCATTATAACCATTATAATCATTATGTTTATTTGATATTGAATAAAATGTATTCCAGGAAACAACTGGGGCGTATGCGATGATCTTATTTGGCGTCCAGGATGTGGCCCACAGGAACACTTCAGATCTTGTTCAGATATCGTCATCCAATAACAATCTACATCATGCTATCACCAAACTATTTTCATAAAAACGAGATGATCACTTTCACGAGATATAGAACCTGAGTAGATGGATGACATAAAAAAATGGCATTTTGAAACTTATTGATATGTACTCTTCTGATATAAGTAGAGATCTATTCTGATTGAGTGTATAATAAACTGATTATAGATTTTGAAATAATGATTTTCAATTTCTTCGCGAGTTGGTCTCCTTTTCCGTCAAGGTGTCTACTGCTGAATAATGAGAATGATATAATGATGAAATGGAATACTTTCAATAAATATGTGTCTTTTTGTGATCATCATCATGAGGGATTGAATAAGTGAAATTCACGTCAATCATAACCCAAAAATTGTCAGAAAATATATCTGTTCACTAAAAACACAAGTGAATCCTAGGGACTTCCCAGGGACGTCCCTAATTTTATACTAGGACATCCCAGGGATATCCTGTGTTGATACAAAGTACATACTAGGGACGTCCCAGGTGTTGGATTATATCAGTATTCAACTCAAGTAATCGTGTTGGCATGTTCACACAGTATATGTTGGTTTTGATGAAAAGGTTATATTTGTCATAAAAAAAAAGATTGACATCCGTCAATCTTTCTGAAAAAAAAGTTGGTTTTCCAGAATTTGACTCAATAGTTTATTGATTTCACTGTTTATTCATTAAAAGAAGACTTGAGGAATCAAGGACATACGACAGGTTATGGGCCCAGATCGTTTGTAATATTAAACAGTGGAAGAAGTGAAGTGGAAAATTAACTTGATCAGAGAAGAGAAGTATATAGGAAGAAGCATATACGAAGAAACATATAGGAAGAAGCACAATATAGTAAACATAAGAAAATGGGTACATCTAATGACGAGTTTCGAATTCCCAAACTAGAAGAAGATAATTATTTCGCATGGTCAATTCGAGCTAAAGCAGCACTCATTCAAAAGCAATGCTATGATGCAGTGAATCCAGGCTATGGGCACACGTTGACCCAAACTGAAGTGAAGAGTAATCAGAAAGCATTATCCTTTTTATTATTGATTGTAAATGATAATTATCTGGAAGATATTGGAGAATGTGATCGAGCAAAAGATGCTTGGGACATTTTAGAAGAAATTCACACCAAATTTGGTTTGTTACATACTGTCACATTACTGAAAAATCTATCAAATGTGAAGAAAACAGATGAAGATACCATGCAAGAATACATTTCCAAGATACAGGATCTTAATAGAAAAGTTAGCAAGGCAGGTATTATATTATCAGACGAAACTCTCGCTTGTTTTTATCTGATGGGCTTACCTATGCCAACTTACGAAGGTCTAGTCAGAAGTTTGGAAAAGGATGAAAGCGAATTGACAACTAGAAACGTCAGAGCCAAACTTTTACTAGAAAAGAAGAGAATGAAGGAGAATAGCAGTACAGGCGAAACAAGCAAGGTTTTTGCGACGAGGAAGAAATATAGCTACAATAAATATTCAGAGAAGAAATATGATGACAAAGTTGAAGGAAAAGATGAACGGAAACCAAGATATGTAATATGTTTCACTTGTGGAAAGAAAGGCCACATTGCTCGCGATTGCAGAAGATTCAAATCGAAGAAGGAAGATTCTAGAGAAGAGGAAGCAATAGAAGCGACGGAAGAAACGAAGCGAGCCACATCTGCGAGTCATGAACACAAGGTCTATATGACAGGTGATACTCAGTATATGAAGGCAGAAAAATTCAAATGGATGGTTGATTCTGGTGCGACAGATCACATGTCCCCATATCGAGAATTGTTTGAAGATTTCCAAGAAGACAGTGGTGAAGTAACTACTGCAAACCAATCCGTAATGATTGTCATGGGTAGGGGAAATGTGATGTTGGATGTTAAAAATAGATATGGAGGATGGAAAATAAAGCTAACGAATGTTTTATATGTTCCGGATCTTGAAGATAATCTGTTATCAGTTGGTAAGATGGAAGAAAAAGGACTGAGAATAGAAACTTTCAGAGGTGTAACAAATTTCTATGATGAAGATGAAATTGTGCTGAAAGCTTTGAAAGAAGGTAATCTCTTCATTTTTGAAACCCACCTGAAAGAAAAGAAAGAAAAATACGAAAAAGAAACACCCTGTGTGACAAGAAAACGAGCATCAATGGCTGTGTCAATCCAAACATGGCATCAACGATTGGGACATATTCATAATGAAGCAATCTTCAAGATTCCTAGTATCAAGGATACCATAACCGAGAAGAAGAAAAAAGAAGAAAATAACTGCACAACCTGTATTCGTGGAAAAATGAAGCGAACTAGTTTTCCAATAGTAGAGAAAAGGGATAGTATTGCAAGAAAACATCTAGATATTATACATTCAGATGTAGCGGGTCCTTTGCGACCTCAGTCACTAGGAGGTGGTAAATACTATGTCACTTTCATTGATGATTTTTCGAAATATGTAACAGTAAGCATATTGAAAGAGAAGAGTGCAGTACCAGAAGAATTCAAGAAGTTTCAAACCATGGCAGAGTGTACACAAGGAAGAAAAATTAAAGCACTTCAGTCGGATAATGGAGGCGAATATACCAGCAACGTATTCAAACAGCACCTGGAAAGTTCTGGTATTGTTCACAGATTAACTGTTCCCTATTGTCCAGAGCAAAATGGGGTTGCAGAACGTCAAAATTTGACATTGATGAATGTGGTTAGATGCTTGTTGATTCAGTCAGGAATGCCGAAAATTTTCTGGGGGGAAGCTCTGTACACGGCTGCATACATACGAAATCGATGTCCTTCGACAGCAATTGGAAACAGAATACCCTATGAAATGTGGTCTAAGGAAGTATTAAATATAGAACACATGCGAGTATTCGGTTGCGAAGCATGGGCGAAAGTACATGATGCTAAGAAGTTGGACGATAGAGCTGAGAAATGTGTTTTTCTTGGTTATCCTGAGGGAGTCAAAGGATATCGCTTATGGCACTTAGAAAAGAAGAAACTCATTATTAGTCGAGACGTGGTTTTCAGAGAAAATGTATTCCCCTATCATACGAATCAAAATCCTGTACATCCCATTGCGAAAGAAAATCAAGAAAGATTCGGGTTCTTTCCTAGCGAAGATGAAGACAATAATTCAATTGATGAAATGGAAGAGAGAGAATCTGAAATTGTTTTAGAAGAAGAAGAAAATGTAAATTTTATTGATGAAGAATTGTCGACTCCAACAGATGAGCAGAGAGACGAACAAAGAATACCAAGAAGATCAGAGAGAATTCAAAATGCCAAATCACATTGTATATGTTGCAATCTAGTGAAATGTGAGAAGATAGATGATCCAAGAAATATCAAAGAAGCACTTTCACGAGAAGATGCGGGTGAATGGATGGAAGCAATGGAAAAAGAAATAAATAGCTTGAAGGAAAAAGAAGTATGGAACATAGTGAAAAGACCATTCGGGGCAAACGTAATCGGATCGAAATGGGTTTTCCGAATCAAAAGAAAACCGTCCGGAGAAATCGATAAATACAAAGCCAGATTGGTCGCACAAGGTTTCAAGCAGATTCCTGGGATAGATTATCTGGAAACATACAGCCCCGTGGTTAGAAAAGAGACACTGAGGTTGCTGATGGCTGTTGCAGTGGAGAAAAATTGGTATGGAGAACATCTTGATGTGGAGTCTGCCTACCTGAATAGCGAAATAAGCGAAACTGTCTATATGGAACAGCCTACTCAATTTGAAGAAGTAGGAAAGAGCTCGTATAAATACGTCTGTCGGTTGAATAAGAGTATATATGGCTTACATCAAGCAGGGAAAGACTGGAATGCATGCATTGATAAAATACTGAAAGATATAAAACTGATTCCATCAAAATATGATCCGTGTGTCTACATGAATGAGGAGAAGAACCTAGTTTTGGGAGTTTATGTAGACGACATAGCTATTTTTGGAGAGAAAGAGAAGATAGAAGGATTCAAGGCAGATGTGAAGAAATATTTGAAAACTAAAGAATTAGGAAGTATCTCAAATTTATTGTCGATATCAGTTTCAAGAACATCCCTGGAAGTTTTCCAGTTAGACCAGAAGGCCTATATATTGAAGATATTGGATGAGTTCGGAATGTCGAACTGTAGAGGAATCGCAACTCCTTTAGAAGTATGTCATAACAGAAGTATCGATTCAGGGGAAGAAAAGTTTGATCAACAAATCTACCGAAAAGCAATTGGAAGCCTTCTGTATCTGGCAAATGGAACGAGGATAGATTTATCATATCCTGTTTGCTATCTTAGCCAGTTCAATGATACACCTACACTCAACAACTGGACAGAAGTCAAACACCTCCTGCGATATTTGAAGCAAACAGCAGATATGAGATTGAAATATCAGAAGACTAGTAAACCTCTGGAAGTATTTGCTGACGCTGATTGGGCAAGTGATAAGCTCGACCGTAAAAGTTGGAGTGGATACGTAGCCATACTTGCAGGAGCTGCTGTGTGTTGGCAAACAAAGAAACAAAGATCTGTGGCTTTATCAACAGTTGAAGCAGAATATATGGCCATGACGGAAGCAGCGAAACAAGTTTTATGGCTTAAAGGTTTATTAGAAGAAGTAGCACCTGGAGATTTCATTAACGAACCTCTATCAATAAACGTGGATAATCAAGGAGCTATTCATCTGGCGAAGAATGCTGTGGTATCTAGTAGGTCCAAACATATCGATGTCAGATATCATTTTCTTCGAGACTTGATAGATAGCAAACAGATAAATCTCAAATATGTAGCGTCGAAAGAAAATCTGGCGGATATTTGCACGAAGATTTTGAGTGGAAAATCAACCAGAGAGGCGTGTAGCAAATTAGGTCTATCTCAAGTTTTGTAAACTGCCAACAAGGGGAAGTGTTGGATTATATCAGTATTCAACTCAAGTAATCGTGTTGGCATGTTCACACAGTATATGTTGGTTTTGATGAAAAGGTTATATTTGTCATAAAAAAAATAGATTGACATCCGTCAA